TAATACGGGAACTTCAACTGTATCTATATCTAAAACATCAGGCACTATAGGAAACAATTGACAAGGTTTCTTACGATTACAATCTAGTATATTAATCAACGGTATCTTTACTTCCAACAGATATCTATAATATATACAAAACTAGTTAATTAAGAATATCAAGAATTTTGTTAAAAATACTATATACAGATATACAGATGAAATATAATACTATATAATACTATATAATATAATACTATATACAGATGAAAATGAAAAGTATTTGTATATAAATATTAAAATTTAATAAAATATTTCGCAAAGGGAGAATAATTATAGCTTGATATAATATGTGTATTGCTTAAATAATTATTTAAGATTGACATCCATTTATATATTGAATAATTTCCTTAAAATAATTATTTTGAGTTTAATATTGTGTAATATTGTTTAAAACTAATTTATAGATTCAATTTGATCATAAAACGAATTGTTTAAATTTAATTAATTAGTTAGATAGATTTAAAAAACAACATATTTGAAACATTTGTTCAGAAAAGTTAGAAAATTAATTAATTTTAGGATCATATCGACTATTCACATTGACATTGAGCATTTTACTATAAATTCAAACAGACTTAAAGTATATAAGCAAGTATAGTCTCTAATTTTATTGTAAGAGGCAATCACTAAACAAATAACGAGAATAATGCGATTTTTAATTGCATTAACCCTTTTGGTTTCGTTGGCAGGAATCCATGGTATTATAATAATAATGTATAAATACTTTAATAAATACTAATAAACTATATCTAATTGACTGATTAGGAGCTGTAGTGAACGGAACCACGGCTTATGGGAACAGAAACAATGTGCTCGGCACTGTGGATGGCAATGGCAATGTCATCAACAATGGACAGGTAGTCGGACACGTCAACCCAAACAACTCGAGACAAGTTTTGGACAACTCGGGTAATGTGATCGGGACTTTGGGTTATAACGACAACCAAATAGCTTACGACGGAAACGGCAACCAAATCGGAGTCGTGGACGCGTGCGACCACGTCTGGAGTAACGGACAGGACATCGGATATCTTGGTGCTGACAATAAGACTGTATATGCCAATGGCAGTAACCAGCAAATTGGTAGCCTAAGGACCCCCTACTATACCGGTGATGGAGTATATGATGCCAATGGTAATCTTGTGGGAACAGTAGGTAATGACAACAACACAGTCTATAACTCAAGCGGTCAGAAGATCGGAACCCTGGACGGCAACGGAGTGAACGTTCGCGACGGCAATAACAATGTCATCAGTGGTTGGCAAAGACGAAACAAAGACCGAAATGGTTGCGGGACAACCGGTGGAAACACTGGAAACACTGGAAACACTGGAAACACTGGAAATACTGGAAACACTGGAAACACCGGAAACACTGGAAACACAGGAAACACAGGAAGCACTGGAAACACTGGAAATTATGTGTACAATAATGGACAGCCTGTAGGATATGTTGGAACCAATGGTCAGATCTATAACTTCAATAACCAACCGATCGGATACTTAGACAGCGATGGAAACACCGCTCGTTATTACAACACAAATCAGGTGATCGGTTACAGAAATGGGAATGGCGCCAACACTGGCACCGGTACTAATGGCGCTGGTAATACAGGAACCGGTAGTCAAGTTTATCCCATTGGAGGCGTTCAACAGATAGCCCCCAGACCTTTGTCCAGCTTTGGTAACATACAATACTATAATAACGGTGTACCAGTTGGTGGTGTACAGCCAGTAGGTGGTGTCCAACCTGTTGGTGGTGTTGTACCGGTTGGTGGAGTACAACCTGTTGGTGGTGTTGTACCTGTTGGTGGAGTACAATCTGTTGTACCGGTTGGTGGTATCCAGTCAGTTGGTAATTACCCGTATGGTACCGGTTACAATACTGGTTACTATCCTTATAACGGAAAATAAATTCAAATCCCAAACCTATAAATGAATATTGTAAAAATATATTTTAAAAAGTGTACATTTAATACATAATTTGTGGTAAAATTAATATGTTGTGTATGTCTAAATCATTAAATATGCTTAAAAGTCATAAATAAGTGTTAATTTATTATTTTATCCCAATAAATAAAACAGCATCAAGTTATCAGAGTTATTTTAAGATGTAATGGTAGATTCAGTTCCACTACAGTAGATGTCTTTAATATCTCAACACTTGAAACTAATACAAAAAATATCACCAATTTCCTTTAATATAAAGTTATAATAGTTTAAAATTAAATGTTTATAATCAATATTGAACATTTTAATTACAGTTATTAATAATAATGGAATAAATTTTATACAGTAATTTTAAAAACCTAATTTTAATATACAATATATGAATTATAGATACAGTATTAAAATAATCATTTTAAAATACTGTATAAGGAATAAACTATATTTTTATTAATTATAAAGTTATATCATTTTTAATGTATAAAATATAAACAAAACATAAAGCTACAACAATTGTAAAAATATGTGAAATACTAAAAACTTCACATATAGTGCCAGTCATAAGACAAAGCATTGATTTATTGATTTAGAGAATATTCAGAATTAGAAATAAAAACCCCGATTCTGTCATTAATAATGCATTACTTGAATGGTATAAATGGTATTGAAATTGAATTTTGTTTTTACAAAACTCTAATCTTAAGTGAAAATACATACAGAAAAATAAAAATAGAAGATGGCAAGAAATTTCATGCTAATGAAGCCATAAGTTAAATGACACATATTTATCAATGAATGGAGCCTTTGGGTCACATCTAATGCCTAACAATATATTAGAGTAATTTGTTGGCCAAACAAAAATACGACTAATGTTTTTAAATTACTTTATTATACAATAGTTTCGAGAGAGAGAGAGAGAGAGAGAGAAAGTTGTGGCAAATTGTAGTCATGAGAGGACTGGGAGGACATCGCAAATCAGATGTGTTATAGTGGTTGAGCGCAAAATATCCATTAAGTGGTGTTTTTTCAATAACTATCTCTATATGTTTGGTCCGAAAGTGTGTTAAAACGACAGTCTTTTATAGTGTGCACTGTTTTAAAAGATTCGTTGCCATTATATTATATATATTTTTGGTGACTCTTTGTCTCAAACTAAACAAATTATCTGATCTTTGAGTGTGCAGTGGAACTACACAATGGTCTGACATAAACATTCATCTGACAGATAACCACTATTTTTCGGATGCACTCGCATTATACTACTGGTTGGCCCCACCATTACATTAGGTATTAGAATAGAGTAGTGCTATCAGTAATCGTGAAAAATAAACTTTTCGTTCACAACGAGACGACTATTCTTCTTAGTTTTCAAACAAGAAACTCAAAATACTATTTATATTGATTGTTGTCACAAAACAAAAAACAAAATCAATTCACTGGGAGATTTGTTTATTCACTTCCTATTGATTACGAGTTTTGTTTAGTTTTAGGATTTATTTGAACAATTTTATCGCAAGAATTTCTTTCAAAACAATTGAGTCCATAGTTAAGTAACAAGACATACACCGAGCCATTCATTTGTCGCATAAATTGAGATAATTTTTAATCAAACAAAATGAATGTTAACTTAAAGTATAAAATGTATATAAAAAATAAAAACAATCTTAATTCTAAATTTGATTGAAAATTCTGCACATAGAAAGTAACAGTAAATAGTAGAGGGCATAAAAATGGTTACAATAAGTGTATATCCATCCAACAGTTGTTAACCTCAAGGGTTTAGTGGCAAATCTCAATGGTTTTTGAATCAAATTCAAATACTTTTCAGTCTGGAGTATATAGTTTTCAAGAAGTACTGTATATCTAAAGATTTGATATTCTTTCAAAATTCAATATATTTTATTAACGTATACTAAAAGGACAGGTATTTAGGTTTAAGGTCTACATAATAAAATAGATATTTCCTGTATTCTTGACAATACTTACCATAGAGTACTTCAAATTTCTACATAAAATTTATAAATGTAATAAAATATGGAAAATATTACATAAAATAATCTAAATCTAATAAAACATAACAGAAACATTATAACAAATAAAGAAAATATTAAATTCTTGTGTATATTTCTATTTACACATAAATACTCATATTTTTATAGATCTCTTAGGGATTATAAATCACAAATTTATTGTTACATATTTGCAAAATAATAAATAAATAAAAATATATAGCAATGATTTGATATGCAAATATTATGATTACTATTACTGTTATATTCAGTATTTATGTTGTGGTATTTCATACAACTTTGAATTTTAGTTTTTTTCGAGTCTGAATAGTAGCCAATTGTATGAATATTTAAGACTTAATATACTGCAGTAGTAGTAGTTTTATTATATTTATATATAATATTATGCCCAATGGATGTCGAGTTTTATGCTCTTAAATGGCCAAATTATCTAACATTTTATGCTCCATAACTCATACAGTGTATAAATTTTATTTATTTGTACCAGAAAAATTAAAGGTATAAATCATAACTACATCCTATAGCTTGTTTACAAATATATAATGTCTTATTTGAAAATTTAAATTAAACAAGTTATAGAATGTAGTTATGATTTATACCTTTAATATTTTTTGTGCATATAAATAAAATTTATATACTGAATTAAAATTGATTACAAAATATGTTTTTTCAAGAATTGTTTAACTAATGTGTCAAATTCTATTAACATGTGTTTGATTTACTGTAATGCAATTCATTTTACTGAATCAAAGCATATAAATTAGTATACAGTATTTAAAATTTCAAATAAAACCTATAAGCTTTGATTCAGTAAAATGAATTGAATTACAGTAAATCAAACACATGTTAATTGAATTTGAGACATTAGTTAAACAATTCTTGGCAAAACATATTTTGTACCCAAATTTGGAAATTCAATAAAGTATTTGTCGTTTCCATATGTTATGAGACGCTGTATAGTAATTGAAGTCATATATCATACTTTCAAATGATATATTAGTTAAGAATAATTTTTGCGCCGAAAAAACTACAAAATATGTAATACCCAGAGTCAGTGATATGATATGAAACCGTTATCTGTATTTTCATATTTCATTATCTCTATGTTTTTCAGTTCAATAATTTTGATGAGAGACTACAACTCTTGACATAATTTAGTTGCCTTTCTCTGTGGCGATCAATAGCTGAACAATAAAAGGCGGACACAATATGTGAGTGAATTAAAGTTATCAAAACAAAGTCACATCGAGTTGTGAGACTTTAATCAGTTTTTTAGTAACACTTTACGCGCGAAGATTGCGAGACAAAGATTATCTAAATATAAGGCTAAATGGCTTCATATCCAAACACTTATAACATATAATTTTGTCGCACACTTCAAATCAATAAAGACTTGTATTATGAACACAACTCATGTGTGTAACGGAAGACATTCAGAAATATTTGTCAATATCTCGACTCCAATTAAGGGCTTTAAATCAATAAACTTGAAATTAGTTAGACTAAGGGCTCAAAACGGAAAATATTAACAAAAGAAGAAAATTAATTGCAATTTAATGACAAAAATTGTGAATTAAAAATAAGTTTAAAATTTTGCATTTAATAAATATGATAAAATCAAGTTAATTATATAAAATTTTATAATTAGTTTTTAAAATACTATAGGTTTAGAAAATTCATTTAATGATTAACAGTTTCAGCAAAATTGACACAAAAATTTGAAACAAAAATTTCCAACATTTGGGTGATTACTGGCACTCATTCATAATGGAGAGGGAAGGAAATGGTCGTCAATATTAAATGAGACAAATGTTTACATTTCAGTGCATTCATGTGTTATTGAATTAAATTTTTGAAACACAAAAAATTAAGCCGTTTTTGCTTTACTTAAAGAGAGTGCAAAAGAAGACATAAGAAATGAGAGAGAGAGAGAGAGAGAGAGAGAGAGAGAGAGAAAGTCTCGGTATGTGACGGCACCGGGAGATCAGGCAATAGTTTAACAGCGCTTTCAAGCAATATTAAACAATTTACTTCCGAAACACTAAACAAATAACTTATTTTTTCAAATTTTCTCGTTTTGTTTATAAGAATTTATTTGCGAAATAAAAAAGTTTTTAAAGCATTAAATAAAAAGAAATACAATAATAATCGTAAAAATGGGAAAACATTTGCAATGAAAACTTAAGGCGGCTTAAAGCCAACTAAAACGGAATTATGAAATATTTAAAAGGGATGAGAAAATATTTATAAAATTCAACAAACGAAAAGTGCTAGCTGAAAAAGCTCATTGATAATGTGCATAAAAAGCATTTGTTTTTTCGAGTTCAAGATTTGATGGGAATTGAAAATAAAGCATTATTTTGACATTTATCTATCATTATATATATAGACGTACAAAACAAACAGTTTTTTGTTGTTTGATTACTCGTCTGATGGGATAAATTAGACAATAATTTATAGTTTAATAACAGAAATAATTCAATGGTTAGTGAAGAGGTTAGTGGATGAGTGGCGGAGGGACTGGGAAATGGGTTTTAAGGCTTTAAAACACAAAAGTGAAAGAGTACACAATGACGAGAATGTAATCACCAAATGCTTTTGCAATCCACACAAAAATCTGATCCCATTTCAGATCAGATGTAAGCCCTTTAGAGAGTAGACAACAGTATTAGTGTAATAGAGAGCAAAGAGAAGATAAACAGTGAATTAAACACTGAGCTATCGGTGCTATAACTATAAACTATTAGGAGGGCTAGTAGGCAACGGAATCGGTGCAAAATCAGCACAAAATATTAAAGTTTCAAACGATATAATCATAAAAGAAATAAATATATATATAAATTCTGGAAATGCTTTTTGTCTGAAACAATGGCACCGAATGAGAGAAATGAGTGAAAGCCAGAGATCAGAGCAAATGTTAACCAATTTGGTTGCCTCTAAAAAACGCCTTCCCTATACTAACAGCGATTTTTGTGTCATTTATGGAAATATATAATACACGACACGTTTCGGGTCCAAAATATGTCAAACACGATGTCAAGACATATACAACTAAATAGTTGTACAGCTGTTCTGTCAGTTTTTAAAATCACTTTTACTTTACTTTTTTTAGTCGCCTTTCATTTTGTTTTTTGTGTGTTTCACTGCTATTAGTATTAGTGGAGTGAGTGGTCAGCAATCAAACTAAACAAGCATTTTGTGGACAAAAGCTCTTGTTTTGCAACGAGAATCACACATAAAACTTGACTCTAAATGATCTATTATTGGGATCACTAACTCTCTCTTCACCAGTAAACCACTAAAATCTCTCTCTCTCTCTCTCTCTCTCTCTCTCTCTCAGTAATTTTGTTGCAGACTTTCATAATAATACCAATTTCGCCCCAAAAACAAAAAATATATTTTTAGAAATCACAGCCATTAAGATTAATTTCATGTCAAAACTTTTAGCTCAAATGTTTTAATTAAATTACAGTGAATAAAATTTAAGTTTTGCTTTATAAATTGTTTGGAATAATAAATATTATTTTTCGAGTAATTAATTCATAAACACAATTGATTTTATGAGTCATTGCGTTTAATAAATACTATTATATTTAAAGATATAGTAAATTTACGAAATTTTTAACGCTATTCACGACTTATTAAATAATTCTCGAAAATAAAAAAGTAACAAAATTGCTGTATATTTGGTGACTAATTAATTTATACGAATGAAAAATAATAAAAAATGTGAAATAATTACTATAAAGTAATGTCTGGACAAATTCATTCAAATGAATAAAATGACACAAAAACACAAGAACTTAACATTTATTCTTACATTCAAATTGTGTTCACTATATTCTGCATAATTCTGTTGAGACAAGTCATACAAACACTTTATATATAAATATAATTGTGATTATTATAAAAATGCATTCATTGTCTTAAACAGACTAATGGAATGGTGACAGTAATTAAGATATATTGTCATCTCGTGTTTGCAGACATTTACAGATAAAGTGAGTTTTGCTGTGTTTCACAAAAAAATGTCTCAATATTTTTGTTTCCTCTTTCATTGCTTCTCCATCTGTATGTCTCAACTGATTTCATTGGCCGACACTTACGGCACAAACAGCTCTTCAGACAATATCTACACTCTATTTGACTGTCTTTTAAGAAAATAAACTTCTTTTTCAGATCAAGACTGATGTCGACATCAGTTATCTCTGTCTCACTATCTCTTCACTTTTTTATACACATATTATTCAAATCGAGAGTAATTTCCAGAGAATACGAAAATCAAAATATAAGTAAAAATAAAAAATAAATAAATTGAAAAAATGTGTGAAAAATAGTGTGAATACAAAAGTGCTATTGAATTCACTAATGGATTGAATGACAACTATTTCAATGAAATATATGACATATAAGAGAGTGTGGGAGAGAGAGAGAGAGAGAGAGAGAGAGAGAGAGGATGAATGACTGGCGAAAGAGATACTTCACGAATAAATTTCGTTATATTTGGTGAGCCTTTAGTGTGACTTTTGGTGGTCTTATCAGGCAATGAGTTGAGCCGTTTTGACTGAATGAACGCAATTGTGATAAAATGCAAATTTTTTGTTGCTCTGTCTATATGTGGAGTGCAATCACTCTCACAAACACTGCACTCATATATGATATATACACGAAGATTGGCCACAATTTTATGTATCCATTGCTCTCTCCCGCAGACTGGCTATCACTGTATGAAAGTGTGTCTGTATTTTATAAATCATATTCAGTCCAGTATTTGCTTTTGCTGTGAAAATTGATATTATATTAAGAAAACAAAATTTTTTCCACTCTTATATTTTGAGTTCATTATTCATGACATTTATATTATCGCATTGAATCCAATGCACAACTAATGCAATATTCCGTTACTTTTTCTTTATGAACACTAACTTTATATCGCTTTTCAACCAAATGTACGCCAAAAGTGCTTGTTATCAGTGTATTCATCCAAATGAATGCATTTTTGCAATAAAAAAATATAATATAAGAATTATTATTTTTATTTTCTATTTATAGCCATGATAATAATAATATTCTGTATTAGTATTAAGAATCAGAATTGCATAGAATATTCATTCACAGCAATACAAATGAGAAATACATTAAAATTGTTATGACTTTTATATTGACATTAAATTCAATCATATTTATAAATACATTGATTAGAAATATATTTTATTAAAAATTTGTATACTAATACTACCGTAGTACAATGTTACAGATATTAATATTAATTGTTATTTAAATTAAAGTTATCATAGAAACTGTAAGGGGGTTATAGGGGGAGGCTTTCAATATAAAAAATACAAACAAATAAACGGGAAGTCATTCACAGACAACGTGTCCATTATATGTGGGGTTTGTTGACGAATGCATAGAATTGAATGCATTTACCATTCATTGCATTGATTGCCACCAAAGCAGTGATGAGTGCCACACAATCATCAGGGTTTGCATCCATTGGATTAGATGCACCGCAATCCTCGTCATCAAACCCGTCATCAAACCCGTCATCAAACCCGTCATCAAACCCGTCATCAGCCACAGCATCGCCCGAAGACTTGCTTCGGGACAGCACTGCATCGGAGCCGCAGAAGTTGGTCAACAAGAAGGTGATTCGGGTGACCAAGAAGTACCTCATAATCACCGACCACTTTAACGACCACATCTGCACTCATATAATCAAACCGCGAAGACATCGGCGCCTGAAAAATGGTCGCAAAGACGTGTGCACACAGACGAGCGCCCGCTGGGGATCCATTGATATCCACCAAATGGACAATCACTCCGATATCAAGATCATCGCCTATGAGATGTTCAACACGTTTGAGACGCTCAAGAAGCAGATCAGTGTCTCCCGGCTTAAGACACGTCAGTGGAAGCGTTTGATGGACACCGCGGAACAGAGACATCGCAAACGAAAACTGAGATATATGTCAAACAACTGGTGCACTGTCTGTATGGCTGAGGCGGTCGATGGCTTTTATGTGGAGGGATCTGATCGTCACTTCTGTGGCGGTCAGTGTTTCCGGCAGTGGATGAGTGAACACCCGGACGAATGGCCAGAACCTGAGGAATCAGAAGAGCCCGAAGAACCAGAAGAACCTAAAGAGTCAGAAGTGGATGAATTAGAGATCGAGGAATAGTTGCGATTATCATAAGTCATGGTAATCACAGACAATGACTAACTGTATTGAACCACAGGTTATGTGATTTTGTAATTAGTTTGTAATCATTATTTTTAGAGTTTTGTTTAGTTTTATGTCACTTCAGATTATTTATTGTTTTATTGTGTAAATAGTATTTACCGTAGAGTTTAATATATCATTTCTAATAAGGTATACCGGTATTCACCGCGGTATTTATAATATAAATATAATTAGTTTATTAATTTATTATCAGTTTTTATTATTTATAATTTCGTTGATTTTTAAATGATTTGTAATTTATTATTTAAATTGATATGAGTTTTTTAATGTTATTTATTTTTTGCTTAATATTTAGTTTTTCTATTAATGCAATATATGATTGATTTGGTTTTCAGCGAAACTGTTACATAATTAACGGCAACAAGTGATCAGAAAATATTGGCATAACTGTCAGTAGTGAAAGTGACGCTCAAATTGTTTGGCAACTCTTTGCATAACTGATCCCTTCTGTGTTGAGTCACTTTGTCGTCAACACTGAGCCTCACTTCCAGATGTCTATCGCAGTGTTGGCCACAAAAGCGTTTAGCGCTGGCAATCAAATCCTCATAACTCATCCACTCCTCAGTTATCTCCAGTGTCTTCAATCTGATGAGACCATCGATTGAGGTGTTTGAGCGCCTGTAGCTCTCTGTAAGCTGTTTGGGTACAAACTTTGCATATAGTGCTGGACACCAGCCCTAAACACACGCATCCGAATCACATGAATCTCATATTCAATTGGCTTACGTTTGGGAAACACTCCAAAAACGGCGTCAAGTGTACGATATGAATGAGACTATTCTTGAGAGACAGACATTTCACGGATGGAAAGCATTTAAATCGCTTTTTGCCTAAAGTGGCGGCGCTTCCCACGAATAACCTCCTAATGGCCAACGAGTGCAGCCTTTTCTGGGAACTGGGAAGCAATCGATGGTCTGAATATCGACACAATTAATGGAAAACACTTTCAAATCGGATTTACTGGCAATCAATTTGAGGTCCTCTCGACTGTACGCGTAATCGGTCCGCAAATAACTAAACCCTGTCTGCGATCTGCGTATAAATAGCCTAAACTTTTGCAACTCTAGCCCTGAGTACCACTGATTCGTGAGTTGCAACGATCGCACGCCATTTGGCACGATATCGACGACACCCTCGAAGTGCTCGTACTGTCTGACGAAGAGTAGCGCCAAAAGGGGAAAGTTTGAGACCAAAGCCATTGTTTTGGGATTCGTTGGCAATTGATTGCGACTGTAGTGTAGCACCAAATGTAGCAATAATTTGCATTCAAAACACAAACGATTCACTTTTGGACACATTTTGGCCAATATATCGATGCAGTCGACGCTCAGCTCCTGGTTAATCAATAGCACCTCAATGTTGGCGCACTTTTGCCTCCATTTCCACGAGAGTTGTGCTCACTTTGATCCCCTCCACACTCCTTATGGTACCGTATGGCACACCTAATCACTTCAGATCTCTGCTCTCGGTATTTATGGGTCCCATTTGCAGCCCTTTCACACATCCGATCACATATTGTGCACAAAATCTAAACTCATTGCTGACTCGCTGTATGGCAAACAAATGTCTCAATTCTAGACGTTTCACTATATCTATCACAATGTCTTTTGGACCTCTTTTCACAGACTTTTTATTATGAATTTTGTTAAACGTCTTACCGTTTAAATCATAATTCAAATTAATTTGCATATAAAACGAGTCGACATTATATAACCGCCTAAATATGAGATTTGTTTGAAACAATTTCCATAACAATGATTAAACGCTCGATTTAATGTGGAAATGCGAATAAATATATCAAAAGTTTGTAGTTAACTATAATTGATGTCTGATTTCAAGTTTGCGAATAGATTTCAATTTAGAAAATAAAGTTTTTTGCTGTCTATTTGCACTAAACATATTTGAATACTTTAACAGAATTTGTTTTTATTTGCTCATTGTTTTCAATTGAATAAAACAATTTGAAAACGACAACAGAAAAGATACAAAGAATAGATTAATGGTATGAATGGCTGTATTGGAAGAATGGGTACTAATGGTCTCAAAGACAATACCCCATTGTGTGTCTGAAGAGTATGTACGGTATAAGTAGTTTGGTCTATGATCTTACTTTTAAATCCCAAATCAGTAATTACAGGCATTTTGTGAAATATAAAAGAAAAGTTAAATTTAATATTTTTATTTTTATAAATGCTTAACATTTTTGTTAAATTAATTTATAAGGCAAAACAATTTAATTAGTTTACAATGGAAACTTTTATTACCCTATAATTAAATTAATATGAAAGAATATTTTACTGTGAAATGTACACAATTGTTATACTGTAATGTATTTTATAAAAGTTTAATTTACAAACTTAAACAAAAAATGTATATAAAAGTTTCGCCAACATACTGGTAAGTCGTTGTGTTAAATTTTAAATAGGTTAGAATTGAGCTAGATTAAAACAAATTTTTTTGCAACTATTCTTTTTTGGCACAATAACGTTGATATGCCAACTTTTACTCAATTCTCACAGGAACGGTAGGGAACGGTAGTTTTTGAAAATCTTAAATTACTTAAAAAGTTTACAACATTTTTAAGTTTTGATTTTTGGATTTGATGCACAGGGTCAATAGCAAAATACTAAATTCTGGATTTCTCAAAATTTGGCCTTGTTGATTTTTAAATAAAGTTTTTAAACTTATAAATTTTAAACTCATTCATCGTTAGAACTGGATCAATGTATCAGGATGATTCTAAATTTGTTCGAAAAGTCTTTTGCTAACAAAAATTCGGAAAATTGTAGCTGTACAATTTATTTTTAATTAATTATGAAAATATTAAAATATACAGTATTAATATATTAAATTCTTTGGCTGAGACAAGTACAATTTACAAATACAGTACATGTTTATGTTATATTCCTTAGTTTTAATACCCAAAACTTTTATTATTACAAGCAACCATTAAATTGTCCTGTGTAATACAAAATAATCGTATTTATCTCGTATTGTATTTGGAAATAGAAAAATGAAAAAGATTTCGGTCACATAAACAAACTGATTATGCAATACATTAACTAATAAATTAGACAAATAGATTTACCGGATTGCCATAAATTTGATATTCATGTTAACTATGGATATAAAGTATTGTTTGATAAGACACGAGACAAAAAGGGAAACAAAACTCGAGTGAATAGTTATTTAGCAGTACTTTGTCTCATCCGATGAGATCTATTAGTTGTATCCCTTACGCAATCATCTCAATAAAAGCTTAGACTTTCCTTTTTATACTGGCGTTTAGAAAGCAATCAATTAATTAGCAGGGCAAATCGCTTTATGAAAATCCATTAAATGTTAAAAAAGAAAACATATTTTGTTGTATTTTTCTGATTAATCGTGAAATAACTTATTTTTAGACCAGATTTTCCATTTATGTCCACAATTTATAAGATTTATAGCATTTGTTTTCAATGCGAAAGTCACACAAAAATGGTTTCCCTTTGAATTGAACGGGTTTTTTGTGTTATGTTTTCATACGAATGCATTCGTTTGTTAACACAGAATAACAGATAATTTGTCACATGTTTGTACAAAATCATTAAATAATGAATGCGTTGGCGACTCAACACTTATGTGTATTTACTTGATGTGTGTTTTTTGTGTGTTTGTGTCTCCACTCACTTATTTAGAAAATAATATTTCTTTATATACTCATTACGTATACTTCGAGAATTTGTGTCTAAAATACGAGTTCAAGAGTTCATTAAACGATTCTGTAATGAATACAGTATAGTGTATATAAAGGTACATAGATTAAAACAAATAAACTTAAAAATTACATCACATATAATAAATTATTTTGTGACAAAAAACTTGTCAAAAACTACAAATTGAACTAATATTCACATCAATTATTTTGAATGAAGACCACTACTGACTATTCTCTACTAATTATTATAAATTATTTAAAATCTCATTTTGTATGACAGTAATTAATGAGTTATTTATTGATATATTATGTATTATTATGAGATTAATATTGAATTTCATATTAATTACAATAAATTTGAATAATAGGGATGAGAGAGACTCTTATCAGAAAATATATGAAAAATGCATAAAAATCAATAAATGACACAAAACACACACACACTTCACGGTATGTATTATAATAACAAATATTCAGGAATTCCCACTCAAAACCTGAGATATATATACAGTATATATATGCAAAAGGTCAATCACTAAAACACTTGCCAAAAATACATTATAAACAAAATAATACATATTTAATAAACTCTAAATGAATTGTTATAAATTAAATTGAATAGATTTTATATTTATACATTAATTACAAAAATAATTAATTGTATTTGAAATAATTTTGTATGTTTTATTTATAAGTTAAACATACTTACTAGCATTACACTTAATTACTTTTATAATGTATAAGATGAGTAAAAACTAAACGATTTTGTCTTAAATTTTTGAATAATTTGACCACGAATTAGATCTTGTTTGCCAATGATAATATTTTATGTGTATTAAGCTTGTAAATTCAAACATTAAATGAGTTTCTAACAAAATAGAGACTTTACAAAATAATATGTGGAAAATCTTTTACAAAATGGGACCAAAAGTTTTCATTATTTGATTTATAAGTGCAATAAATTTTTATTATTTAATTCTTTCTAAAATAATTTATGGCCGAAAACTTAATAATTCAAATGTTATATAAAAAGCTACTGGATTTTCAGCCAAAATTTATTTTGTTATAAAATCGGTATTTAATTGAATTTGGCAAATGTTTTATTGAGTTTGTGTTAAAAACACATTTCATATACGAAAAGACTAAGAAATATATATTTTGCAATAAAACTAAAACTAAAAATTATAATTAAATGATTCATAAAATAAATGGACAATAATAGCAGTAATCATAAATATAA